ACTACAATTAGGACCGTCAACTCGGTCATTAAGCAAAGCAGTTGCTAAGTGAAACTGACTGCTTACGATCTTACTTCAGCTTTCCTTTGCTTTGCAGACCTGCAAAGGTTGTAAATGCGAGGATTGGTCATAAAGTTACTTTTTCACCACCATTGTAACTGCGAACGGTCGCTAAACGAGGCAGTCGCTAAACGAGGACTACCTGTACTGGATTTTTTCAGTCGCATGAAGTGGTTCCAAGCTGCTGTTCATGCAATGCAATTCACTCCTTGTGTCTTGGGTCACGCTAAGCACCCCCCCGGGGAAGGGAAAATCAATACTACCCCCCCTTGTCCTGGCTTCGTTAATTTGTACACCAGCTAAGCGCCTTCTCGTGATTCTAGTCCCTAACGGGAAACGCCCTTCCTAAAATGCAGCCGAGAAATGTATTCTGCTCTTCTTTTCCCTTCCCTTCTCTTTGCTACTTAGAAAAGATGAAAGAAAGTTCTGCCCTAAAATGAGGGGGTGGCAGGGGGGTGCCATCTCAAGACACAAGAGAGTGAAGAGTGTAATGAGACAGTGATGGAGCACACGAGGTACAGGCAAAAATTCTTTTCTGCAGGTTTTTTGATCTCCCTGAACCACCCAAAAGAGAATTAATTTCGTTTCCCACAATGAAAGAATGAATCGCCAAAGAAGCCTAAAATAAAATAAAATGGAGAAACGAGTCCAGGTGAATGAAACCTAAAAGAGGAAATAAAGCCTTGATATTTAAATTGATGGGGGAAGTTCCTATATAACCACAAAAGGGACCTAATAAAATGCGCTAATATAGATTAAGAAAGTTCTTGGAAAGCTGGAATTGTGTTTTTAATTCACCCGTGAGTAGGCGCCCACCGTGTCTTTCTGTGCCACGTTGTTCCAGCGATGGGCATTTCATCCAAATCTTCTTTGGTTAACTCACGGCTATAAAATACTGGATAATAGTTTGCAATTATTTTCCTCTTTTTTTTTTTTTCAGGTGAAACACCCGAAAGGAGAGGAAATGTGCAGCTGAGAATGATGGGAGTTGTAGTCCAACGTGCCTAGAGAGCACCACAGAGGAGAAGGGTGAAGAAAAAACCAGTACATTGTGGCACTTCAGCACTACCCCTGGCTGGAGGGTGGTATTACAATTGTCCACTCCAGAGGGGTCATGTGATACTCCGGCCATCAGTCAAAGGCCTTATGAAGTCCCAGGTTATGGTGCAAGAAAGAGACAGTCTGTGGGCTGCAGACTGATCCATGTTGGAATGACTAAACATGGAACACCAGAAACATTCCCATAAAGTGCTCCATATTTGGGAGGACCTTCTGAAGACTTTTTCTGCTGGGATTTTTACCCCTATCAATGGGGTGGCCACTGTTTCGTGGCATCCCGTCACCCCCATTGGGCTCCCCAATTACGAAAGAACAGGTACCAGTTTGTGGAGGACCACCATAATGCTTCTTGAAGGCAAACTCCCTTGGTTAAGGGTAGAAGGTTCAAGGGAGAAAGGACAGGATGTCCATCTTAAAACGGCTGAATTGAGAGAACTGACCATCAGACATTGGGCGGCAGTGCCCACAAGCTGTCTTGATGGAGAAGCCCTCATGATAACTTCCTAGTGCCCTCAATAATGAAGACTGTTGGTTTGGAGAAGACATCCAGGAGATCCTGGGCTTCCTGCTGAGGAAATGCACATTTGGACTCAACGGACCTTTGGGTAGATCTGGCAGGACTTAGTTTTGGGTGCAGTGTTGGGAAAAGGAGCACCCACCTTCTGTGTCCAGAGAAGACCAACCAGCAGCTGCCTTGTGTTGAAGCCTCCATCCTTCACCATGCGTAGCTGCCCAACACCCAAGACGGAGGGTGCTGAGAACCCCTTCTTCTCAAAAGGGTCTTTGGTGATGGTGAGGAGAATCCATTTTCGGGGACCATAACTCCATCTGTTGTCAAGGCAGCCACAGGAATGATGTTCTTTTTTTTCCAGGTGAGCAAAAAGGCTCCAAAGATGGGATTTCATCCCAGGGTTCCCATAGAAATAAATAGGTGAGGAAACCCATGGAAAGGAAAGGGGATCACTTTAATTAAGATTAATTAATCTCCCTACCTGCAAAAGAAAGCACAGGTGCTTTGAAGCCATGCATGGCTAATCTTCTGAAAAAGGGAGACTCACCAGGTTCTGCTGATCCCTTGTTGATGCTCAGCGACGCCCCCTAGAAGTTTCCAAGCCCAAAGCTCCTCTCCCCCCACCTCCCATGTTCAGTTTGTTTAATGAGAACGATGATGCTCGTTCTGGAGATGTGATGCTGTGGAAAGGTTCGAGGGTGTAAACTTTCATCCCCTTACACCTGAACGGAAGGATTACATTTCCTAGGGAGACCAGCAGCAAATGGGGCCTCTGCATTCTTTAACCCAGCTGGTTGGACAATGCTTCAGGGTTTTAGGGTTTCCTTTACATCACCAGGGGACTTGGTCCTCTGTGATGAAGAGCAACATCTCTGGAAGGTACTGTAGATCCTGGTTATCGGACCTGGAATGGTTGAAAATGAGATGAGCAATCTTGGCCCCTTCGTTATGATGCCCTTTCTGGAGGACATGAGACTTCCAGCATCTTCAGAAGGACTCCCTTGGAAATGCAATCCCTTGGCTAGTTTCTGGGTGACCTTGTAGCACAAACTCAGCCAGGGTTGGTCTGGGAGGAGGGATTGGGCAGCCCAGAAATCCCATTAGGTCCCTCACAAGGATCCATGTGTTGTGTGAAGAGCCCCATTCTGGAGTAGCCATCAGCAAAAAAGCTGGTGCGTCTGACAAATGCCTGGGGAATTCTCACGTTGGGGTGGGGGGGCAAGTGGGTCCTGCGACTGTAGTTCCCATCTTCCTGTTCAACCGGCTGAGCTGGGGCTGATGGGAAAGGGAGTGGGGAAGGCCCCCCGTTTGTCTGAAGCTTAACCCTTTTCTGTCCAAGAGGGGATACGATCTGGTCCCTGGAAAATCGAGGGATTCTTGCTGGGAATTGAGCAGCTGGTTGGTGCCCGGCGTTGTCAGAATCACTGGGCAGTGATTGGGGGGGGGGGTCCCGTTTGCTCTCCCCTGTTTGCATTAGACGCCCTTGGCTGCCTCTCCAGAGGCACCTTTGGAAAAGGGTCTTCTCCCCAGAAACAAGGTGGAGCGAGGAGGAGATGCTTGGTTTTGGCTGGGGAAGATGGGGCTGGTGGTGGTCCAGGGTCTGCCCCTGCTCCGCTCATGTTTCACACTTCTTCCAAAGATATTTACGCAGGGCGGGGGGCGGGGTGACTCGCTACGCACCCCCGGTTTTGTTAGGAAAACATAAACCCTGAATGTTCAGGCGGTGGACGCACCGTTTCAAAACCGCAGAAGCAAAGGAAAAACGTATTTTTAAAAACGTTTTTTTAAAATCCTCCTCCTCCTCCTCTTCACCATCACCCCGCCTCTTCTCCGCTCCTGAAAAGCCGTGTTCGTTTTTGGGGAGATCCTTGAAATATTGTGGCTGGAGAGAATCCCCCTTGGATTGGATTCGTTTCCTCTCCCCCATAAGAAACCCTTTATCCAGCCCCAGTTCAGCGCGACGTT